AAGAGCAGCCAGTGCTGTTAACTACTAAGCCATCCCTCCAGCCTCAGTAAATTTCTAAATCAGTAGCATAGTCAATACTATAATCAAATGTTATTGAGTATATATGATTGTATGTGCCCTGCTTGTATGTGACTGTCACTGCAGAGAATGTAATATGTGCACTATGACATTAAATGGCAGTGGTGCCATGAGGCATTAAAAGTTGTTCAAGTCCATTATAATCCTGTGGGGCCACTGTCCCAGGATTGTGACATATACAGACTTGTTGACTGAGATATCTGGGGTAATTCCTATTTCTACTTAGGGTCTATGGTCTCATATTTTCTCTTTGTTTTTTATTAATATTTTGTGTATATATGTGGTATATATGTTTATGCAGTATGTATATATGTTTGTGTAGGTTCCCAGGCATGTGAGTGTGCATGTACATGGGAGAGAGTGAATATGTAAGCTAGTGGTTGATATTTGTTGTCTTCTTTGATTATTGTCCCCCTTAGTTTTTGAGACAGGGTCTCTCACTGAACCTGGAACTGACTTGGCTAGGGTGTTTGGCCAGTGAGCCCCGAGGATCCAGGTGTCTCCACGTTAACCCGGTGCCGGGATTGCAGGCACATGCCACCATGTCTGACTCTCAGATGGGTGTTGGTAATCTAACTCAGATCCTCAAGCTTGGGCAACAGGTACTTAATTCACTGAGCCATATCCATAGCTTCTCCTTTTTTGTTTGAAGCGAGGTCTCTCTCTAGCCTAGGCAGACCTGGAGCTCATTGTGTAGCTAAGGTGTCATCAAACTCACTACAGGATTGCTGCAGCCTCCTAAGTGGCAGGATTACAGGTGCCAGCCACCACATACAACAGGATCTGTAGTCTGCAGCATAGACTTGGTCTGGGGAGCCCAGTGGCCAAGAACCTATGCTGGGTGCCTCACCGAGCACTCTTTTCTCCCTTCCCTGCCTAGCATCCTCCGCAAAGCGCTGGATAAGATAGCTGAGATCAAGTCTCTGTTGGAAGAGAGGCGGATCGGTGAGTGGGAGAAATGCAGGGCATTTCTTGACCAGACATGGTGGGGGCCCGGGGAAGCAGTCACGGCCCAGCAGGGAGCATGGCACATGATCTGGTGGGGTCACCCAACAGTTGTCGGAGACAGACTCAGAGGCCAAGAGTGTGCCTAGTTCTCTGCCCAGACCCAGTCATTTTGCCCCAGCCTTCCCACTGCCCTTGCTCACTCTGTCCAGGGCTGGTCATCTCTCTCCTTCCTACCACTGCTCCCTGTGTGACATGCTTTGGTGACAATCTGTCACTCTTTGTGCCCCAAAGCCAGCCACACATGTGAATCTGGCTTGGCTCCCTGCCTTGTGGGTCCCCTCAGGTGCCACCTCCTTGGCTTCCTGACTTCTGTCTTGCCCCAGATGCAACTCTTCACCCTTTGGCATCATCATGGGACCATTTTTGTTTGTTTTCAGTTGAAGAGTGTGGTTATCCCCCCGAGATAATTTGTGCCCCTTTCACTGAAATTACATACACTAGTAGAAAGGAGATCAACCTAAGCACCTCATTCCAGGATTTTCATTGACCCAGCACATTCACATATCCAGCACCCTGATCAGGAAATGGAATGTAGCCTGCTTCCTGGGAACCCTCCTTTTTAGTTCTTCTCCATGATGGTGGCCACTGTCCTGACATCTCACCCGTTTGAGAGTTAGGCCTGTCAGTTCCCACCCTTAGATGTCTGTTAAGAAGGGGCGTGGATGGTGTTGGGATGCTGGTATCAAGTGCTCCAGCTCAGAGCAGTTGCTGGGGTGTGACTGGGTCAGGTACCATCCACGTGGCCTCAGGGGTTCACTTGCTTCCCACAGCGGCCAAGATCGCAGGTCTCTACAATGACTCGGAGCCCCCACGGAAGACCATGCGCAGAGGGGTGCTGATGACGCTGCTGCAGCAGTCAGCCATGACCCTGCCCCTCTGGATCGGGAAGCCTGGTGACAAGTGAGGGCAGGAACTAGCCAGAGAGGGCTGGTGTCAGGGGGCCAGACTAACAGGCTTTCTCTCCTAGGCCCCCACCGCTCTGTGGAGCCATTCCAGCCTCAGGGGACTATGTGGCCAAACCTGGAGACAAGGTGGCTGCTAGAGTGAAGGCTGTGGATGGGGATGAGCAGTGGATCCT